AGTGGCCCCCTGCCCTCCTGCAAGGCCAGCTCCTGGGGGAGTGGATCCTGCCCTCTGGCCACCCCCTCTCTCCGCATCAGCGAGGAATCCCAGGCTGGAGTGGACCTCCCGGGAGGAGGGAAGGTCTTGATCAACATGCTCCCTGGGGAGGCCGGGCTCCTGGTCCACGGCCCACATTTGAGACATGCTCCCTGGGGAGGCCGGGCTCCTGGTCCACGGCCCACATTTGAGAAGGTGAGACTTTGGGTTATCCAGGACACCTCTCAGCTCTGGGGCCACAGAGCCCGCCCTTGGGTTTCCTGCGCCCAAAACCCAAAGACCCCTCCTCCTGAACGGAGCCTGGGCCCAGCTCACGGTCAGCCCTGTCTGCCTCCGGCCTCCCTCCCTGGCGGGTGTCCTGCAGGTCGGGGGCCGTCTGCCTTCCTCTCTCTCCCAACACTTCCTACACCGGGGGTCCTTCCACCCAGGGGTTTCCTCCTGGGGCAGCTGGGGGGCTCGTGGAGTCCAGAGGCCTCTCGCTGACGCTGCCCGGTCCCTGTCCCCTCCCCCGCCCCCTGCTTTCTCTGCTGGGTTCTTCTGCCCCCGCAGTTCCTCTGGAACTCTCTTCAGAGGAGACGAAGTGGCTTCTTTTTACCTATTTCGGGTTCGACTTCACTCTGCGTTTCTGCAGCCCTCCACCTACGTTTGTGTCACTTTTCCAGAAACGTTCGAGCGCGGTGTCTGCCCCCGGGTTTCCCTTCCTTGGTTACCCGGGAGCGTCTTGGGATTGCTCTGCCACCTTCATGACTCCGCTTTGTCTCAGCGGGCGGGCCGGAAGGCCAGCACCGCGGGCCGGAAGGTCAGCCCCGCGGGCTGGAAGGCCAGCACTGCGGGCCGGAAGGTCAGCCCCGCGGGCCGGAAGGCCAGCGCCGCGGGCCGGAAGGTCAGCCCCGCGGGCCGGAAGGTCAGCCCCATGGGACGGAAGGCCAGCACTGCGGGCCGGAAGGCCAGTGCCGCGGGCCGGAAGGCCAGCGCTGCGGGCCGGAAGGTCAGCCCCATGGGCCGGAAGGCCAGTGCCGCGGGCCGGAAGGTCAGCCCCATGGGCCGGAAGGCCAGTGCCGCGGGCCGGAAGGCCAGCCCCGCGGGCCGGAAGGTCAGCCCCGCGGGTCGCTCCGTCTCCTCCCGCTCGGTCTGCAGCCCCAGGGAGACGGTTTGCTGCCTCCTGTGTCGCCCCCTCCTCCTGACTCGGTTTGCCATCTGGGGGTAGTTTCTCAGACAGTGGCGATGCTTCCAGAACCTTCTTCAAATCTCTGGGGTCTCCTCGCGGGGCATCTCCCCCACCCCTGACGTAGCTGGGCTCCAGCAGATGGACACCCCATCAGTAAGCTCCCACCCGCCGTGCCCTCTGCCAGCCCTGAGCCCTCCCGGGCTCCCGTGGGGAGGTGACGCCATCCCCAGGGGCCCAGGGGAGCCCGGGTCACCCCACCCTCTTCATCTTGCCGCCCACGGGCCATGACTCAGGGGCTCTGTCCCTGTGAGTCAAACGCTCCGCCTGTCACCCGCGGCGCGTGGCCTCTTGATGACCAGGGTGGCTGCCCTGGCCTCCCCCCGGGGACTCAAGCCACCGGTGGTCCCAGACGCGTGGTCTTTCCTGTGTCTCTGCTGGGCGACTCCTCTTTTCCAGAAGGTGGTCCATCTTGTCTTTCCCTGCTTCCTTCTCCCCTGGGGCTCACAGCAGGTGCCCCCCAGCCCCGTGGGATGCCCCGGGCACAGCTTCCCGCAGCTGCCTTCCCCAGCCCAGGGGTCCCCAAGCTCTGCCTGCATGTCATCCCCCGAGGTCGGGAGGTGAGGTGGGTGCAAGGGCTCAGTGAGCACCGGTCCCTGGAAGGAGGGATCCCCGGATCCCCTCCTGAGCCTCCCACAGGGTGCCTGTACCCCCAGTGAACTCCCTGCAGCGTCTCTGCATGTTGATGTCATGCTCCCGTGAGCTCACGAGCAAGGCCCTCCGCTGAGACCCAGGCTCCCCTCCTCACCTCTGGGCGACCCCCCCTCGCTGTCTGCTGCATTCCCCCCCAATTTGTCTCATCACAATTTTCCTCCCTCTGGTTGCAGCCAAAAGAGTGTCTTATCACCTGAGATAACTTCCTCGTGACTGTCAGATATAAATGCTTCCGTCTTTGGTATTCGAGGAACACATAATCCTAGTAACATTTGATGTTCCCTTTAAGGTCACGATGGAGGCGCTGGACTTCATGTAAGTCCTGCAAGTCAGGGCTCCCCCCAGGCAGGGCTGACTCACAGGGGTCCTCCCAGCTGTGCACAGCTGCCCACTCCCCAAGGGCCTCTCTGGAAGGTTCTGAGCAGTGGAGGGTGGCACACAGCTCTTGCTCTTCCCGAGGGCTGTGCGTCTGTAAGGAGACGCAGCACCACTTTAGGAAGGGCCCGACTCGGAGTCCAAGGCCTTGAGTTCCAATCCCGGCGAGCGAGCCTAGGGAAGACGCGCTCGGGTGCAGGCCCTCCATCAGTGGCGTGGGGTCTGAACACACCCTCCTGATAAAGCGGGAGAAATAAGGGAGCTCATGATGGAGCAGCCTGACCCGGGTGTTAGCCTGCACCAGGCTCTCAGTCCAGGAGGGGAGCGACCCGACGGCAGAGCACCTGCCTGCCCCGCCCACATCAGATGACACACGAGGGCAGAGGGAGGCGCGCTCATCTGCCCAGGGGTCGCCGTCCAGGTGGGAGCAGAGAAACCGGGGCATCAGTAGTTTTCTACATCCCAAAGCCATCATATGTTTAGGACAAAATTCCAAAGGCTGTGTTAAATAGATGGAAAACTTCTTTCTGGGGAAACAATGGAAAATAATTTCACAATTTGGCCAGAGAATATTTTACTCACTCATTAAATCCCCAGGTCATTGTTAAATGGCCAAGATCTGTCCTGCCCTTCATACAAAGTCATTTTTGGTATTTATTTTAAGAAACAGTGTTGGATTTGAAAGGACCATGACTCAGGTGAGGCTGGGAATCAGATGGCCTCATCCAGGGCTCTGAACGATCACTCTTATGACATCATGGTTAGACCTTGTGTTTGCTCCATCAGAGCAAGAAAAGAAATAAGTCCATCGTGGTGTCTGGCTGCTTTCCCAAGCGGCCTGTCTCCTGTGCCAGGAAACCTCCTCACACGTTCACCGAAGGACGGAATGGCCTCAGCTGCAGCCCGTGCCCCTGAGCGAAGGAACACATTCGTTCTGCTAAAAACAGTGGCTTCTCCCTGACCGAAGTGCCTTCTGCAGGCAGTATCCTTCTTGTGTCAGGTAGAAAATGATGTCGGAGCAGCTTCACATGAGAACTGATGAGCCAGGGAGCCCGGCATCCTGCGACGGGGCTTATGGGCAGAGAAATAAAATGAGTGAAATAGAAATAAAGAATGAAAACAGAGGGTTTGGTCTCAGTCCATGCTCTTCCCCTCTTCTGCTCCAGAGGCCCCCTTATAATTCAGAGCAGTTGGAAGCTGAGCTGTTTTTAATGACAAGAGAAAGTTTCCAGCCCCCATCTTCCCCACCCCCAGCACCCTGGATGGCCATGCAGCTGTGCGCGGTTCCAGATACTAGCTCTGTTTTACAGTCTGCCCTTCGGGAGCTTTGCTGGCCTGGGTGTCCTTAGGAAACCCTAGGTCTCAGAGAGCAAGGGACCCCCTTGTCTTTCTTCCCTGGAGCTTGGAGCAGCCTGGCCCTGGAGCTCAGTCTGGAGAGATTTCTCTGCTGTGTCTGAAAACAACATCCACAGCGCGAGTGCCTTCCCCGTTCCTGAAATTGTTTCACGTTCTCTTTCAGGAGAATGAACTTGGGTTTTCTGTAAAGGCACCCTTTCTTCATTCCTGGACAAGCCTTGCTTGCTCCCGGTCTCCCCTCCCTGGCTATTTCACGCCGAGTGTTTTTTTCTGCCTTGGTTTTGCCTGGATCTTTCTCGTGCCTGTGCAGTGAGGCCATGCCTCCCGAGTCAGGCCCTGCATGCTAACACACCTCGTGGTCCCGACCCACAGGCCTCCGCTCCATCCTTCCCCGCTGTACCCTCTGTTCCGCCTCCCCCAGCTGGGGCTCCCACTGCTCATTTATTCACCCATTGTACAATATTCATGAAGGAGCCGCTCGCTCGGTGTAGGCCTGAGCCAGGCCCAGGGACATGGCTGTGAACCAGCTCAACGTGGACCCCGCTCCCCTCAGTCACATCCCCGAGCAGACCCCGCTGACCCAGGGTGGCAACGGGGGCCCGGCATCACCATGAATGCTGAGGGTAGGCCATGCATGTAATGCCTGGCTCCACCTCTGTGATAGTGCTTACGGGCTGTCTGACCTGAGGAAGGTCACTGAGACTCAGGGACACGCATTTCCTCAGCTGGAAACTCGGAGCTGAAACGCCCGCCCTGCCAGCTGGTTGCACAATGAGAACCCGTGTCTGTGAAACCACTGGGCTCCCGATCATGGTCGTTATTTATTAATAGTTTTTATTTGCCATCTGTCCTGGGAGCTTCGGGGTTGACAGGTTCTATGACCAGAGCCTGTCCCTGCAAGGGCAGCTGCCAATCTGTCCTGGCCTGCGATTGGCAGCCTTGGGCTGAAGGTAGGGGTGAGTGTGGTGTGTGTGGACCAGGCGCTGCACGTGGCTTCCTGAGAACGGTCTCAGAGCTTCCATGGCCATGGTCTCTGCAATGAGGAGCCTGGGCCTTGAGACTCAGCTCCGTTGCCCAGGGTCTCGTAGGGGACCAGAGTCACCATTCGCCGTGTCCAGTGAACTTGTGGTGGGTCTCGGGGGGCCATTCCTGGAGGGGCAGAGTGGACGTCTAAGCTCTTTTTTGGTAAGATGCTTCCCTGAACCTCTGACCCCTGGCCCCAGGTTTGCTCCTTAGGGCCCCACAAGACACCTGGAAACGTCCTGCCTCCTTGGGACACAGCGATGCCGTCCCCAGCCTTTCCGTTTGGGCTCTGCGCCCTCCATGCCTGACTTGGGCTCTCTCCCCGCAGTGGGCCGCCTCCTAGTCTGGTGACACTGGCCTTCCCTGTGAGTCCCAGAGCCGCCCTCCAGGCGACAGGAAGCTGGGCTGTCCCTCCACTCACAGGACCTCAGGGTCTCCTGACCGGATGCAGCCACACCTCAGCCTCGGCCCAGGAGGACCCTGGGTTTCTCCTGCCACGTGACTTTTCCAGCCATGTCCCGCCAAACACACTGGACTGCCCCCGGGTCCCGACGCAGGACTGGAGGATCACAGCTTGGTGTTCAGAGCTCTTCCCAGGTAATGGGTCCCGTCCAGGCACTTTAGATGGGTCATTTCATTCATTTCTTTTCACCTTCCTGGGAAGGAAGCGCTAATAACATCCCCACTTGCTGCTGTGAAAACTGGTCCAGAGAAGGAAGTAAGAGGCCCCTGCGTGCCCGGGTGCTTACTACTGTGTCGCACATTCACGCCCCATCTTTTCAGATTGCCTTTTTATTTCTTTAAAAATGTGTTTTATTGAATAGGGTTCAGTTGCTAAGTCGTGTCCGACTCCTGTGACCACATGGACAGTAGCCCACCAGGCTCTTCTGTCCATGAGATTCTCCAGACAAGAAAACTGGAGTGGGTTACCATTCCCTTCTGCACCGGATCTTTCCCACCCAGGGGTCGAACCCGGGTCCTCTGCACTGCAGGCAGATTCTTTACCGACTGAGCTATGAGGGAATCCCTTATTGAAGTATATTTGGCTTAAATGTTGTCTTAATTTCTACTGAATAACACAGAGATTCAGTTATACATATTTATATATATGTGTGTGTGTGTGTATTCTTTTTTTGTATTCTTTTCCATTACAGCTTATTCCAGGATGTTGAATATAGTTCCCTGTACAAAGCACTAAGACCTTCATATTTACCCATCTTGCATCCGCTCACCCCAAGCTTCCTCTACCCCTTGGCAATCACAAGTCTTATCTCTAGATCTGTGATTCTGTTTCTGTTTCATAGATAAGTCCATTTGTGTGTATATACATATATTTTAGATTTCACATATAAGTGATGTTGTATGGTATTTGTCTTTCTCTGTTTGACTTACATCCCTTAGTATGGTAATCTCTAGGTCCATCCGTGTTGCTAAAAACGGCATTATTTCATTCTTTTAATGGCTCAAAGTATTCTATTGTATGTATGTACCACATCTTCTTTATCTGTTCATCTGCTGATGAACACTTAAGTTGCTTCCATATTTTGGCTGTTGTGAATATTTCTGCCGTGAAGATAAGGGTACATGTATCTTTTTGAATTGGGCACCTACCTACCTGGGGAGTTCATCTTTCAATGTTCTGTATTTTTGCCTTTTCATACTGTTCACAGGGTTCTCTAGGCAAGAATACTGAAGTGGCTTGCCATTCCCTTCTCCAGTGGACCACGTTTTGTCAGAACTCTCCACCATGATCCATCCATGTTGGGTGGCCCTACATGGCATGGCTCATAGTTTCATTGAGTTAGACAAGGCTGTGGTCCATGTGATCAGTTTGGTTAGTTTTCTGTGACTGTGGTTTTCAGTCTGTCTGCCCTCTGATGGAGAAGGATAAGAGGCTTATGGAATGGGAGACTCTGAGGGAGAAACTGGGTCTTGTTCTGATGGGTGGGGCCATGCTCAGTAAATCTTTAATCCAGTTTTCTATTGATGGACGGGCTGTGTTCCCTCCCTGTTGTTTGACCTGAGGCCAAACTATGGTGGAGGTGATGAAGATAATGGTGGCCTCCTTTAACTTAAAGAGCCTCTTGATGAAAGTGAAAGAGGAGAGTAAAAAAATTAGTTTAAAACTCAACATTCAGAAAACTAGGATCATGACATCCTGTCCTATTACTTCATGGCAAATAGATGGGGAAACAATGGAAACTGAGAGACTTTATTCTCTTGGGCTCCAAAATCACTGCAGATGGTGACTGCAGCCATGAAATTAAAAGACGCTTGCTCCTTGAAGCTAAACAGTTCTATGAAGACCTACAAGATCTTCTAGAACTAATACCCATAAAAGATGTCCTTTTCATTATAGGAGACTGAAATGCAAAAGCAGGGAGTCAAGAAACACCTGGAGTAACAGGCATATCTGGCCTTGGAGTACAGAATGAAGCAGGGCAAAGGCTAATAGAGTTCCGCCAAGAGAACGCACTGGTCATAGCAAACACCCTGTTCCAACAACACAAGAGAAGGCTCTACACATGGATATCACCAGATGGTCAACACTGAAATCAGATTGATTATATTCTTTGCAGCCAAAGATGGAAAAGCTCTTTACAGTCAGCAAAAACAAGACTGGGAGCTGACTGTGGCTCAGATCATGAACTCCTTATTGCCAAATTCAGATTTAAATTGAAGAAAGTAGGGAAAACCACTAGACCATTTAGGTATGACCTAAATCAAATCCCTTACAATTATACAGTGGAAGTGAGAAATAGATTTAAGGGACTAGATCTGATAGACAGAGTGCCTGAAGAACTATGGACAGAGGTTCATGACATTGTACAGGAGACAGGGATCAAGATCATGCCTAAGAAAAAGAAATGCAAAAAAGCAAAATGATTGTCTGAGGAGGCCTTAGAAATAGCTATGAAAAGAAGAGAAGTTAAAGGCAAAGGAGAAAAGGAAAGAGATACCCATTTGCATGCAGAGTTCCAAAGAATAGCAAGGAGAGATAAGAAAGCCCTCCTCAGTAATCAGTGCAAAGAAATAGAGGAAACCAATAGAATGGGAAAGACTAAGACTTCTTCAGGAACATTAGAGATACAAGGGAATATTTCATGCAAAGGTGGGAACAATAAAAGACAGAAATGGTATGGACCTAACAGAAGCAGAAGATATTAAGAAGAGGTGGCAAGAATACACAGAAGAACTGTACAAAAAAGATCGTCACAACCCAGACAATCATGATGGTGTGATCACTCATCTAGAGCAAGACATCCTGGAATACAAAGTCAAGTGTGCCTTAGGAAGCATCACTATGAACAAAGCTAGTGGAGGTGATGGAATTCCAGTTGAGCTATTTCAAATCCTGAAAGATGATGCTGTGAAAGTGCTGCACTCAATATGCCAGCAAATTTGGAAAACTCGGCAGTGGTCACAGGACTGGAAAGGTCAGTTTTCATTCCAATCCCAAAGAAAGGCAATGCCAAAGAATGCTCAAACTACCGCACAATTGCACTCATCTCACATGCTAGCAAAGTAATGCTCAAAATTCTCCAAGCCAGGCTTCAACAGTACATGAACTGTGAACTTCCAGATGTTCAAACTGAATTGAAAAGGCAGAGGAACCAGAGATCAAGTTGTCAACATCCATTGGATCATCAAAAAAGCTGAGTTCCAGAGAAACATCTACTTCTGCTTTATTGACTATCACAAGAAACTGTGGAGAATTCTTAAAAGATAGGAATACGAGACCACCTGACCTGCCTATTGAGAAACTGTATGCAGGTCAGGAAGAAATAGTTAGAACTGGTCATGGCACAATAGACTGGTTCCAAATCGGGAAATGAACGCGTCAAGGCTGTATATTGTCACCCTGCTTATTTAACTTATATGCAGAGTACATCATGAGAAATGCTGGGCTGGAAGAAACACGATGGAATCAAGATTGCTGGGAGAAATATCAATGACCTCACATATGCAGATGACACCACCTTTATGGCAAAAAGTAAAGAGGAACTAGACAGCCTCTTGATGAAAGTGAAAGAGGAGATTGAAAATGTTGGCTTAAAACTCAGCATTCAGAAAACTAAGATTATGGCATCCGGTCCCATCACTTCATGGCAAACAGATGGAGAAACAGTGGAAACAGTGACAGACTTTATTTTGGGGGGCTCCAAAATCACTGTAGATGGTGATTGCAGCCATGAAATTAAAAGACTCTTGCTCCTTGGAAGGAAAGTTATGACCAAAAAGCAGAGACATTACTTTGCCAGCAAAGGTCCGTCTGGTCAAGGCTATGGTTTTTCCAGTGGTCATGTACGGATGTGAGAGTTGGACAGTGAAGAAAGCTGAGTACTGAAGAATGGATGCTTTTGAACTGTGGTGTTGGAGAAGACTCCTGAGAGTCCCTTGGACTGCAAGGAGATCCAACCAGTCCATCCTAAAGGAGATCAGTCCTGGGTGTTCATTGGAAGGACTGAGGCTGAAGCTGAAACTCCAATACTTTGGCCACCTGATGCGAAGAGTTGACTCATTGGAAAAGGCCCTGAGGCTGGGAAAGACTGAGGGCAAGAGGAGAAGGCGACGACAGAGGATGAGATGGTGGGTTGGCATCACGGGCTCAATGAACATGGGTTTGGGTAGACTCCGGGAGCTGGTGATGGACAGGGAGGCCTGGCGTGCTATGGTCCATGGGGTCACAGAGAGTCAGACACGACTGAGTGACTGAACTGACTGATCTTGTAAAATTGGAGTATTATATGGATATATGCCCGGAGTTGAGCTGCTCTGTCATCTGGTGGCTCTGTTTAGTTCCGAGTAATCTCTATACTGCTCTCCTAAGTGCCTGCGCCAAGCCACATTCCCACCAGCGTGTGGGAGGGTTCCCTTTACTCCACATCCTCTCCAGCATTTGTCTTTTGTAGACTTTTTGATGATGGCCTTTCTGACCAGTGTGGGTTGATACCTCACTGTGGTTGTGATTTGAGTTTTTCCATTCAGTTCAGTTCAGTCGCTCAGTCATTTCCAAATCTTTGTGACCCCATGAACCCCAGGCCTCCCTGTCCATCACCAACTCCCGGAGTCCACCCAAACTCATGTTCATGGAGTGGGTGATGCATTCCAGCCATCTCATCCTCTGTTGTTCCCTTCTCCTCTTGCCCTCAGTCTTTCCCAGCATCAGGGTTTTTCCAATGAGTCGGTTCTTCACATAAGGTGGCCAAAGTATTGGAGTTTCAGCTTCAACATCAGTCCTTCCAATGAACACCCAGGACTGATCTCCCCGAGGATGGACTGTTTTCATCTCCTTGCAGTCCAAGCGACTCTCAAGAGTCTTCTCCAACACCACAGTTCAAAAGCATCAATTCTTCTGTGCTCAGCGTTCTTTATAGTCCAACTCTCACATCCATACATGACTACGGGAAAAACCATAGCCTTGACTAGATGGACCTTTGTTGACAAAGTAATGTCTCTTCTTTTTAATATGCTGTCTGCTGCTGGTGCTAAGTCACTTCAGTTGTGTCTGACTCTGTGCGACCCCATAGATGGCAGCCCACCAGGCTCCCCCGTCCCTGGGATTCTCCAGGCAAGAACACTGGAGTGAGTTGCCA